ATTGGTGATCTGGGAGACCATAAAAAGATTTTCATAAGTTACTGGAGCTAAAAACAATAGTTTTAAATTTGATGGAGCAAAAATAAATTTATTCTAAATTTAAAGGACTAAAAACATATTTAAGTCTAAATTTTATTATATATAACTAAAAATGCAATAAATTATATATAAATAAATATTTTATTTAAATATATAAATTAAATTTAAAATGTGTATAAATAGATTTCTAAAATATTCAAATTATATTTTATTTATTATAAATAATAAATATTGTAAAACAACACTGTTTTTATTTATTGATAATATATTTTAAAATATTAAAATATAATTCATAAATAAGTATAATAAAAAAATTAAATTAGATAAAAGTTAAAATAATTCTTAAGAACTCTTTTCAATACATCTTTAAATCTTTTGAATTTTCACTAATAATTAAAGAAATGCATTAATAATAGTTAAGACTATAATAAAAAATATATTTTATGTTACATTGATATTATAAAATGATAATAAAATTAAAATAAATAAAAAATGATAAAACATCAAATAAAATAAAATGGAGTGAGTAGTTAGATGAAGATAGAATAGTTAAAATATTGAACTCGTGTTAGAAATATGAATTTTGTTTATCTTTATTTAGTAATATTTTAATTTAATAATTGTATAAATGTGTGGAAAAGCTCCTTCCCTCCTTCATGAACCTTGTAGATAATAAAAAATAAAAATGGAAGTTAAATAATGAATAGAAGGTGAAATTGAGGAATAAGTAGATGTTAGGATGCTTATAATTTGGTTAGTGAAAATGGATAAAAACAAAGTGAAAAATGTGGTCGGAACTTTGTTTTTGTTGTAATTTATAGCTGCCAAACGGCTTGACTCGCATCGATGAATGCATCTCACTGTTAGGATGTTAGTAAATATTTATACTTTTTTTTAAAAACATTATTGATATTTTATAGGAAAGGACACTGGTGAATGAATACATATAGGAAGTTTCTTTTTTTATTTATTTAAAATTTAATAACATACTATTTCTAATAACCAATATAATTTTGAATAAAAATTCCAAACATATTGTATATTTAAACTCTTATTAATTATTCTAAATTTCATGTACACAATTTTTGTGTTCTTTAAACCAATTTGATTTTTGAGTTGAACATAAAATTATGACTAGATGTACTAATTTATTCCGGATATAGACTCACTTAATAAGAATGACTTAAATTTCCTAATTATATAAAAAATATCTTATTAATCATATTTTATTTATAATATTTAATAATTATTATAATAATAATTGATTATAAGTAATAAGATATTCAACAAGAATAATTTAAATTTTTTATACGTCACCTTAATTATATTTATTGGATAACAACTCGCGATGATCTCTACATTTAGTGGAATTGCACTACTACTAATAAGGTAAGAGAAATATTAAAACTGGATAACTCATATATACAGGTGTATAAATATAGTATAATAATACTAACTATGTTTCTATATACAAAAATATAACACCAAATATGTACAGTCATCCCAAAATAATAACCTCCTAGTGTCGGTCAAACACAAATAACAATTATCCAAGAAGGTAACTCGGAAACTAGGACAAAACTCCTCGTCCTGCAACGATCATAGCAAACAGCTCCAACCTAACCCTGACCTGCTCCCATACACAGTATGATCATCGTAGTCTATCAACATGGAAACAGAATGGTAAGCTAGAGTTCAAAAGGCAACCATACAAGTATAGAATAAAATCTATACTACACATGCATACAAATCAAGTCCCAAAGGAACTTCCATCTCAATCATTCATCAATTCATCAACCATGAAGTCAAACACCATGCACTTCATCATCATAACAATCATGCAATACATGAAAATCATGACAGATATCAATGCATATCAATCATCTAATGCGTCGTCACGCATACACCTAAGAGATCTCCCTAACAGCAGAGCAGTATAAGTGACATCCCATCCTATTGAAACCACCCCAGCTGTTTTCACGCCCAATGCGCCCGCTCGGTCACAGTTAAACAGGATATAAATCCTCACTCGGGTTTACTTGAATGATGTCACTTACACAATTGGAAGTCCGGTTCCACCATCAAGTATAGCACAGTTAGGTACAGGTTTACCACGACCTTGACATGCATTACCAAGTCACTTGTGGAGTTTGCCCACCAACTATCCGCTAGGAACCACACACCTTCCCCAGTACTTGGTTAAGGGAATAACCCTCGACCTCATACTCCGCTCCAACACTAGCTAAGGACTTAAAGGAGACTCACCCAAACTAGTGGCCTACCTGAGCACCACTCTCATAATTAGTGGCCTATCCAAGCACCACTCTCAAGAGACTCTATGTGAGCTCTTCCAGTTCGAAAATATTTCCCTCTCCTTAAGTCCTAGGCTAGACATGGCATCACATGAAATAATGCATCATACATCATACATGGTCAATCCACCATCATGATCAATAATCATACTCATGTGAACATATACTCATGTCATATCATATTTAAACATTCATACATATCATCACTAAGCATACATATGAATCATACACCGCCATACATCATATATCAGACATACATGATCATTCTTTCAACTTTAAACATGCATAAGCATCATTTCAAATCAATCAAAACATCAAACACACTCACGCCCGGTGCAGCCAGCTTGCACCCGACGTCGTTCAAATAGAGACTCCTAGAGGTTTCCATGCCCGATGTTTTTTTTTTGCGCCCGGAGTGGCTCTCCTCATGCCCGACGTGAATTCATCTAGAAACTGCTTCTGATGAATACAAGCCCGACGCCAATAATATGCGCCCAACGTAAATTCATACAGCAACCCCAAAACTTCAAAAATTTTGTCCAAAACCCGAAAACCAGGAAATTCAGCCGCATGCAATCCAAGCAATGATGCATATAGACTCCATACAACTCGAAAACAGACTCTGATTCAACATGCATTCACCAAACGCATCAAAATCACCAAAAACCCCATTTTTCCCAAACCCCGAAAAATGAGAATTTCCTCCAATCTAGCCATGGATTCTCCAAATTCATGCATCAATTGAGTTCCTAAACTCACATGTAACCAAATAACATACATTCTAGCTTCCCTTACCTGAAGATTGGCTCAGAATAGCCCAGAACTGAGAAGAAGCAAAGAAATTCCTTCGGAGCTCGACTCGTAGATTTCAATCATTCAAAAGCAAGCTTTCTAGTCTGTAATTCAAGAGAAGATAGAAGAAGTTAGTGATCTAGAAGAGAAGAGGAATCAAATAGAGAAATTTGAGAGAGAAAGGAGCTCACGGACCAGAGTCCTTCTCTCTAGGTTTCCTTGAGAATGAACTTATGAAGTTCATTTCCCAGAGAAAACCCTTATATACTCTTCTTCCTAGAGTCAACTAAACTCTAAAATCTACTCACTACGTCACAATTTTACATCAAATGCATTTTTTAAATTGTCTAAAATTATCATGAATAAAAATTTTATCTCCATATTTTTAAAGTATAGTATAATTAGGATTCAAACTATAGATTAGTGATTAAATTGAAACAGTCTCAAATCAATTGATTCATATATTTTATAATTAAAAAAGTATTTATTAAAATATATATTTTTTACTATAATTCTCTATATATATTATTAGAAGTATATTTATTAAAAATAAGAAAAATTAAAATTAAATAATAAAAATATATTAATTTAATTAATATTATAATTGGTTCAAATTTTAAGATCTTGAATTAAAGTTTGAATTTAATAAAAAATATATATATTTTTTTTTAATAATAAAAAGTATAATAATCTATAAGTATCCTTTTATATATCGGCGTATAGATAAAATCAGCGTAGTATGCAAGATTCTTAAAATGGGTGAAGACTTCGTAAGCAACTATTGCCCTTCTCCACAGCTTTCAAGTCACAAGTCAGCAACCTTACAATTTACGGTCTCTTCAGAAAAGATATTTCGTATTTCCATTATTTGACATGATTGTCAAAAGATTTAACAAGAAAATTTTAAAATTGTTGCCACAAAACTTGCAAAGAAATATATGTTTTTTTTTTCTTCTACGTGTGAAATCATGATATCCTTGACTAGAGTCAAAGATTAATTTTTCAAGAACCTGATATTTATTTATATTTACGAGATTAACCTCCCCAATAAATGTTAAGTACATTTAGAAATTGATAATTTGACCACATTCTTGTTCTTGATAAACATGAGTACATACCAACCATGTTAAATTATACTTTTCCAGTTTCATTTTGTTTAACGTTTAAAATTTTGGCATACATTTAAAAAATATTATTAACATGTTTGATTTTATAAAATATTATATTATTTTATATCATTTTACGTAGACAAAAAAGTCAATAAATGGATGAAAAAGAATAAATAATACAAATTTTACAAAATTATTCTTATGGTTAACTCTCTTAGCAAGAAATCTTTTTAAGTCAAATTTTTTTCTTCTATAAATGATGCAACATAATAATAATTTTTCAACTAATATTAATAGAAGTATAAATGAAAAAGAAGTAATTCATATTATATTAAAAAAAATAACATGACACTTATTTTTTCTTCTAACATGATAGTTATTATGAGATTGAAGAATAAATTGTATAACATTCTAATATATTTTTAAATCTTTTGCATTCCCATCAATAATAAAAAAAACATATTTAATGTTACATTAGTATTATAAAACTACAATCAAATTAAAATTGAAAAGAAAAATACTAAAAACGTGAAACAAAATGAAAGGGTGAGAGTAATATTTCTTTTCCTTGTTTCTAAGTACTTGGACAGACTAGTAGATAAATAAGTGGAGCCTTGCAATGGATTCCATTTGATTCATTTGTTATGTATGGTAAAAGCTTTGATCCCCATTGAAAAGCACATGCAGTTTCCATAAAACTGAGTCCCAATGCTGCATACTTCATCACAGTGTCCTGCACTTGCATGGTCCCAACAGCTCAAAGTTTGTCAGGGTTTGATGTTGACTGACCTCTATTTATTCCCTCTCCAATCCCCCCTCATTTCCCCAAACACCTCCTTTCCATGTTCACCTTCAAGTAATTAATTATCTCCCCTTATGTCTTCCTTATCTTTTCTTTCAATTTATTATAGCAACCATTATTATGATCCATTTATTTATGCAGGAAAATGGCTCATCTTGCCTTTCTTCTTCTGGGGTGTCTCTCCATGATCTCATGTGCTAATGGCTATGTGAACAATGGGGGTTGGACCAATGCACATGCCACATTCTATGGTGGAAGTGATGCTTCTGGGACAATGGGTATGTATTTATGTGTGTGCATCATGTATGAACAAATGTGACCATGATTAATAACAAATCTATGTGTTTGCCAAACTTGTGCATTAGATTTAAGTTACATATTTGCTTATATTATATATCTCATCATGATATTGTATATAGGTGGGGCTTGTGGGTATGGAAACTTGTACAGCCAAGGTTATGGGACTAACACAGCAGCACTTAGCACTGCCTTGTTCAACAATGGCTTGAGCTGTGGCTCATGCTACCAAATTAAATGTGCAAATGACCCACAATGGTGCCTCCCTGCCTCCATTGTTGTCACTGCAACCAATTTCTGCCCCCCTGGTGGTTGGTGTGACCCTCCCAATCACCATTTTGATCTTTCTCAACCTGTTTTTCAGCAAATTGCACAATACAAAGCTGGAATTGTTCCTGTAGTTTACAGAAGGTAATGCAGCATGTGAGTTGTGTTAAGTGTGAACAATTCAGACCTGCAACAAAAAAAGTTACAATATGACCAGTGTTATCAAATAAATTATATGCAAGTATATAGAAGGTGTGTGCTAATGTAGTTAACTAGTGCAAACATAGTTACTTTTAAGACCAAACTTTTTGAATGTTTTTGGTACTATTATTCAAGCACAATTAAAGTTTCACTTTAGAAATCACCATGACTTTAAATGCTGATATTTGTTGTAAGTCACCAAGCTGAAACACTAATTTTAGTCGAAGAATAGCAACTTAAACATCTAAAGATCTCTAATTAAGTTTTAGAGTTTAATTTCTATATGCTATAAGTGAAAGAAAAAAAATTGCAGTCTATTATTTAGAAATCGTCAGTAGTATAATTTTAAGATAGTTATTATAAAAATCAATGAATAAATTTATCGTATATAAAAGTTTCTGATTAAATGATACTTTTATGCTGTCAATACATACACTATTTACCATGTTTTTTTCCCCTTACTTTTACTAGTTTTTGGCCTGAAGCTAACATTTTCTCTTCATGGGTTTTGTTTAAAGGGTAAGGTGCAGAAGAAGAGGTGGAATCAGGTTCACCATCAATGGTCATTCCTACTTCAATTTAGTCCTTGTGACTAATGTAGGGGGTGCTGGTGATGTGCATTCTGTGGCCATCAAAGGTTCAAGAACCAGATGGCAAGCCATGTCAAGGAATTGGGGCCAAAACTGGCAGAGCAACTCTTACTTGAATGGACAGAGTCTTTCCTTTTTGGTCACCACTAGTGATGGCCGCAGTGTGCTCTCATATAATGCTGCACCACCAAGTTGGTCCTTTGGACAGACCTACACTGGGAGCCAGTTCCGTTACTAACCAACCTTAGCTACAATCACAGTACTGAGAGCCAGATTATTCTCTTGCCCAGTAAATTCGAGGATACTAGTAGCAAGAAAAAAAGACCTTTTGATGGAACATCATTTCCATGAAGTTGGGTACATCATGATAATAAGATTGCATTAAAAAAGAACTAAGCAATAGTTTAATAATAGTGTACATGTGTCAACATTGGCCACAAAATAGGTGGTCAATTTAATCTAGTCCCTTTTTATATATCGAGTCTTGTTGCAACTTGCAAGGTTTTTGGCAGAAGAATTCCTACCCTTGATTTATGCTAGGCTAAGCCTCATGGGTGCTTCTGTTTACCTGCCGAAAGAAAAGTAGGTTAGAAGTGGGATTTTGTGTGCCTTATTGCACTTTGGCAGATTTGATTCTTGCCTTGTTCAGAAAGATCAATATGAAATAATAATTAAGTATATTTTTCTATTACTTTAATTATTATTATTGAATGAGAAATGTGATCACGGTGTATTATGTGCTTAACTCGCAAAAACTCGTCAAAAATTTAAAAAATCAGATTTGTATTAAACTTGAGTTTTGTGTTAGCCCATGTTAAATTAAAATTGTTTTTGTTCGACTCACTATATCCTACAAACCATATTGGGCCAAATAGCCCGTTTTATCACATGTATAGAGATGGAGGCGTGATACCAGAATTAACACTAATATATATACATGTCAACATGCATTATATAATAAGAAATTATTGAAATAAGAAGGAAATTATTCACATCAGAGTCGCTTCTAACTCTGGGGTCTTAATCCTAGGCAAGTTGTAAGCCAATTTATGTTGCATGAAATGTCACTTATCTAATGTGTTGGACACTAAGAGGTAGTTGAGATGTCACCGTGTTTCATTACTTTTATGGTTTTGGGTGATAATAAGAGTTGATGGGATTAAAGTGATATGAGTGCAAAATTAGAGTAATATAAAAGTCCATTTCAGTGACTAATGTATAGAATGAAAGGGTTACCTGTCCTCAATATATTGATTCAAAAGGTCATGGATCATATTCATATATATAGTGATGGCATAATTAGTTAGCCACATCACATGAGTGGTCATAAGGTGCACACATCTAATGTGGGTAGAAATATTGCAGTAAAAATATATCTTGCAAGATCCTACATACAATAAAACAAATAATTAGCTGTGAAATTTTTAATTTTGCAAAAAAGTAAATAAATAAATAAATGTCTCGGCCATTTTCTTAAAAAGTAGAAACATTTCTCGTGGACAATTTTCCTAAATATTGATCGATCCAAAACTTCATGAACACACTCAGAAAACAAGTACCAAAGTGAAACCAATGCTTGTTCAGAAACTGCCACATATCACCCTGCATTTTCTAGGTACCTTCCACATCTTTGTTCCCTCAAAGAACTTGTTAAACTCTTGAAACTCTACCACATCTAAGAGCATGAGATTTGGCAAAACCATCCATGTCCAGTTGGTTATTCGTAACCAAACTTCAAAAGACAGTGACATACTCAAATAAACTCATTGATCAATTTATACTCCAAATGTGATCAATTAGAGTGTGCCAGAAGGCTGTTTGATAAAATGCCCCAGAGAAACGTGGTTTCTTGGCGTGTTTTGATGGTGGGGTGATAGAGACCCAATTAGTCCAAATATAAATAGGCCCAAATGTATTATATCCAAACCATGTTGGATGAGAGACTATGTTTAGTTATAAAGGTTTCGGTGCTATTTTTTATTTCATCTTGCTTTCAATAATCTCTAGTCCTACATGTGTAGGGGTAGATTACAATGGTTATTTTACATATATTGTAGTGTTTATCATTGAGAGGATTGTGAATGGATTTCCTAAGTTTATTTTTTTAGTTAGTACTAGTGTAGCCCTAATTCTTTTTCACTCGGCTATTATTGGATATAATAATACTTTGGCTAGTTGGGTCTCTATCATGGGGTATTGATGGGAAAAACTCTTCCTCGTATAATAGAATTATTCACACATCCAAAAATCTTAAATGAAACACACTCATATTTTATTTCTTGGCTCTCTATTCATAGACTAAAACTATAATACTTTGAATCAAATAATCCTCCTAATTAAAAGAAAAAAAGGAAACAAATCTCTAAAAAATATTAAAACAAATAAAAATCTGTAAATCTAAATAATATCCTAAAGATTACAAATTCCTAAAATAACTCCTTAAATTTTCACTCACTCAATTTTTTTGAAATTTGAATCATTTTCCTAACAAATCCTTCCTTAATTAAAATTTTTAAATAACTGGTTGATTAAAATATTTATCTTCTCAAAGCTTGTCCTTCCAAGTAGTAAAGATTTTTCTCATTCTTTTGTCTTTCAATATCAAGCGTCTCCCTTTGTACGCTTTGCATCACCATTTTGAACCAAAATAATTGTAGGCTTGTGATGTCAGTTCCCCCAATGAAATTATATTGGATGCAACAAAAGGTACATATCTCACATTTTTAGAAGTTTGAATGACACTGTTGTGAAGTTTTATTCTCACAGTCTTAATGCCTTTAACCTCCATTTTCTCACCATTTCCTAACTTGAATTGACCGAACCATTAGTGTTTAAAGTGTGAAATATCATACGGTCTCTACAAATGTGTTTTGAGACAACAAAATGCATTACCCATTTTGATTTAGCAACTTCCTTAGTAGTTCCCAAATAGACATCATCGTCATGAAGGTTTCGAGTTACATTAGCTTGGAGTTGTCATCATCTCTCCTCACAATTCTCAATTTTTGAAGGTCCTGTCTCATTTCTTTACACATCGGTTGCATGTGACCTTTCTTTCCACAATACTAATATTGCACATTGCTCATATCTCATTTTAGACATAATTGAAAATTTGATCTTTTTCTAGGCCCATCTTGTTTCCATGAATCACTTCTCCTTTGCTCAGAATGTTGCACGGCTAGTGCATGTCCTTCAATATCAATATTCTCATTTTCATCATTCTCTCATTTTCTCTTATACAGATGTCACTTCATTGGACTTTAATATCAACGTCTAATTTAACGATTTATAAGACTTTGGTAGTAAGGCCAACAACAACACTGTTTGCCCTTCTTAGAATTTTTTTCATTTACATTTAACAATTGACATACTAGTTGGTTGAAATGATTAATGTAATCATGAAGATTTCCTCCCATCTCCATGTTGAGTTGATACAACTTCATCTTCAAACATAGGCGATTGGTACACGACTTAGATGCATAAATGCTCTCAAGTTTCTCCAACAAGGCTTCTGGTGTTGTCTCCTTTAACATGCTGCACTTGATTTCGGGAATAACAGCTAATCGAAATCGTGTTCATGACCTTCTTTTGGATCTAACTCCATTCTCTTTCATTGATAGTATTTGGCTTTTCATTTTCCAAAGCTTGATCAAGACCTTGTTGCACTAAAATATCTTGAATGGTATACTACCAAATCATAAAATTTGTTTTACCATTAAATAATGATATCTCAAACTTTTGTGTGTTCCCTACCATAGCTCTGATACCATTGATGAGAAAAACTCCTCACACAATAAGATTACCTACACATCCAAGGATCTTAAACGAAATACACCCATATTTTATTTCTTGGCTCTCTATACATAAAGCAAAATTGTAATATAATGAATCATACAATCCTCCTAATTAAAAAGAGGAAACAAATCTATAAAAGATATTAAACAAATAAAATTTATAAATCTAAATAGTATCCTAAAGATTATAAATTCCTAAAATAACTCCTTAAATTTCCACTCACTCAATTTATTTGAAATTTGAATTATTTTTCCAATAGGTATTTGCACAAAGGTGATCTGTTGGAAGTACTTGGGCTATTCGGGAATTTGGTTTCGTTGGATAGTGCATGCCCTCAATGAGTATGTAGCTACCATAATGTGTTGGAAGAACTTCGGCTATTTGGGAATCTGGTTTCATTGGACAATTCACCCCCTTAATGAGTATATATTTACCATTATTCTTTCTTGTTGTGTTGATAGAGGGAGAATTCAAAAGGGGAAGCAATGTCATGGGTATCTATTAAAGTTAGGATTATTGTTGCATCAATATTTAAAGAATGCACTTGTTCACATGTACATAAGGTGTTTTCATGTAGATTCAACCATGTGGATTTTGGATACAATGCCTGAGAAAGATTTTTGTTTTAATGATATCTTGAGTGCCCTTGTGGATTATATTTAAGGGGGTGTATTGGATTGAGATTTCATAATAATTTTTTAGTATCAAAAGACTATTATAGATACACTTCCTTAGATACAATCCACAAGTGCAGTCAGCCTAATAGGTAAGAAGTATGAATTTGTCATTGTAGATAAATATTCTAGATATACATGTATATTTCCTAGGCCATAAACATAAGTCGTTTAAGGTCTTTGAAATATTTTATGAGTGTGTTCAAATTCAAAAAGGATTTTGCATTACTGCTATCAGAAGTGATCATGGAACTGAATTTGAAAATTCTGATTTCAAAAGCTTTTGTGAAAAACATGGTATCTTTCATAACTTTTACTCTCCAAGAACACCTCAACAAAACTGGGTAGTTGAAAGAAGTAATCGGACTTTACAAGAAATGGCAATAACACTCCTTTGAAAAAATAATTTGCCAAAACACTTCTAGGCAGAAGCAATGAATATAATGTTTCAAAATAGAATATTGAAAAGACCATTACTAAACAATACTCCCTATGAATTGTTGAGGGGAAGAAGACCAAACATATTCTATATCTTGAACACTAAGGATCAACTAGGCAAGTTTGATTTCAAGGTGGACAAGGGTATCTTCCTTGGATATTCGGACACCTTAAAAGCCTATAGAGTCTACAACTCTAGAACTTTTGTGGTAGAAAAATATATTAATATAAAATTTAATGATGCATTGAAGACTAATAGGAAACTATCAGATCTAGAAGAAGATTTTGCAGATCAAAGAAGATCAGACGAAAAAACCAGATGATACAAACCAGATGATGAACCTTCTTGAAGAACAAATGAATTAGTCAAATGAATCCACCCGATCTTAGAGAGATTGGAAGTTTTTCAACTATCATCTTCAAGATCAGATCTTAGGAGATAAGACTAAAGGCATCAAGACTAGATTTGCTATTAGACACAATGCTTCATGTTCTATGGTTTCTGAAATAGAACCAAACAACATAGATAAAGTATTAGGAGACAATGACTAGATTATAGCCATGGAGGAGGAGCTTCATTAATTCAAAAGAAATTATGTTTGGACTCTAGTACCAAAGCCTAAATACCAAAGTGTGATTGGAACCAGATGGATATTAAGAAACAAGTTAAACAAAGAAGGTAAAGTGGTAAGGAATAAGGCTAGATTGGTAGTTCAAGGCTAAAATCAATAAAAAGATATTGATTTCATTGAAACCTTTGCTCCTGTTGCTAGGGGTGGGCATG